GATAAATAAACGCTTAAAGTTTCCATCCTTAAACTCCGCATCGCAATAAGCTCACAGTTGCAACTGCCAAAGAATTCATGACAAGACTTGAGAGCTTTTTAGCCACTCCAGAGCCGGTGAATATTTACACTGACTTTGGCGCGGAAAAATCCTTCAGCTCCTTTGCATTCTGGCTTGCAATTTTCCCTGAGTTTCCTGTAAATGCTGCTCGCATTTCCAACTCCTTCGCCGGCGGAAGTGGAAAACTTAGAATTCGCACACCCACTGCATATAAATCAAGCTTTTTGAGATGCGAGGAAGCATTTTTGGCATCTCGCTGGCAAAAGCTCCACATCTAAGCTCTCTGTTTGGAGGGCGAACGCCCCACAATGGTTGGGGGATATTTTAATTATTATATTATGAGCCATTTCGATGATTATTTCGAAACACTCATGCCGCCCGTCTGCGAATAACTCCGCCAGTAATTAATTAAATAGGGAATCAAAACAGGACTTGTGTACTTTCCTACTTTTCTCTCCCTGCGGAGCAGAAATAATTCACACTAACATTCATCATATTAAGTGGGTCATTATGATTAATGATTAACATGCATGGCGGGAAAGACACAACGGCTTTCATTCACTCCCAGCGCGAATTACCGACACTGCGACGATGAGTAGACAGCAGACCGCAATTGTCGTGGAAATGCCGCTGGATTTTCCATCCGACTCTTGGCCAAGACGTGGGCGATACTGGGAGGAAATCGATGCACGGGAAATGCCTCAATTTGGTATTTTGCTCGCGCCGCGATCTGCGCCACCCTTATCTCCATGCCGGTGGCTTCTGCGGCTCTCCTCCGCCTGATGCGGCCACTAATCGACGAACCACCCCCAAACCCTCGGGCATTACGTCTCTGCCGTGCGCGGAACGTGACCAGCGAGGGAAATTCTTCACTCGCACGCGAGAAATATCAAACTTCATAGATCATTCGCGCTCTGCATTCCCTCAATGGGAGACACACACGCTGACGCCAAGGAGTTCCTGGCGAAGAGCCGGCATTTCTGCCAGCACGAGCTCGAGATTTATCAAATTACGCAAATATTTGAGGCCATAACTGGAACTGTATCTCGGCGCATATTGGAAATGATGTTGGAAAAACTGGGAGTAGCTTTAGTCGAGTGCTGTTCGCGGGAAAAATCTTCAGTTTCAAGTGATAAACTTCAAGACAGAGATTACGTTTTGTCTTCAGAGAGACTTCTTGCGAAGTCATGCGATGAGATATTATGAAATCATCACATTTTGCAGCCAAAGTTTGAGGAATTATAACATTATCTTTTCCATTTTATAAATATATACACACAGAATAGAAAAAAGAAATTCATGGAATTTCATTTTGACAATAGTTTTCGCATTTTATCTCTATGAAAAGAGATTTTTTTTAATGTGAAATCACTTCAAATCACATTTCAACATAATTGTGAATTTTCTACAATTCAAAGTCGAGCGGAAAGTTTTGTGCAAATCAAATGGACTCTCAAGTAGAGATGCACTTGTACGGCAAATAAAAGTTTGAAGCTCATCAAAAATTGTATGCTATCGAGTTTATTAGCAAGAACATAATCCGCAAATCTAATCTCTTAAGCCATATCATCTTCTCTGCTCTTCGCATATGTTCTCGCTGAGCTTTTTCTCCTGGCAAAAGCATAAAAGCCACAGTTGCCCTTTCAGTGACTCTTGCATACAAAATTTCTCTCGAGTGATGAATATCTGCTTGAAAATCATTAACTTTATATGGCGCCCACGAGGGGAAAAACTGAATGCAAACCACACACTTTTGCTAAATAAACAGGTCAGGAAAGAGGATAACGCGAGGTGAAAGAGATTCACTTTTTTCAGCTCCAGCAACTGAAGAGCTTTCAACTTGCAACTGGAGGCGTTTCAGATTTTTTTGCCCCTTTTATCTTAAGCCACGCAAATTAAGTTACTTGTATTTTGCGCTGGTGCTTTTTCTCCTTCCTCTCATTCTGGGGGGGGGGAAAGATTTTTATATTGTTTTTGCCGTGTGACGCCAACAAAAGGATAAAATGAATGGCGAAGAAATTGTTTGCATTGCACTGGATGGAAAGTATTTTGGTGGAAAATGCGGAGAGCTTTCTGAAGAGCGAAAGAATTGTTAGAAAGTGAAGAGTGAATATCTCCAAGGCGAATTCCTCGGAAGTTTCTTGAGGGGGTGGGAGAGAAAGGATTGTGTGGCTATTGTTATGCCAAGTAGAAATTATTTGCACTCTAAGAAGTAACACAATTTTGATGCAAATTGCATGAAAAACATTAATTGTATCCAACGTGTGGCTCTTCAGTTGACTTTATGCGAAGCTTTCGCATGAATTTCCAAGACTTTGCGAATACATTGCTATAAATTTCACACAGCGCGCAACCCTTACATATGCTTTACAGCCATTAAGACGCTGCCATAATGCTGTGAATGGAGTGAAAGTTTATGGAAAATTATTTCCCAGTGAAATTTCAATTTGCTGAGTGTCTCTCGTCGCCTCTGCTCGCAGTCTGTTGAGCCCACAAATTCGCCTCTTATTAATATTATACAGCATCTCAGCCAGCGCCAGTCGAAAACCTTTGAATGGATAATTCTCTGGCGATATTCTGTGGACATTATTCGCATCATTGCGCTGCAATTTAAATGAATCCATGACAAAAGAGGCACAGTGACGAAATGGGTCTAATTAAAATGGTCTCTAGGCTGTTTTTCGTGCCACCATCTAATTTACTGTCTCTCACATAGACGCGATGCGGAGCACTTTTTTCCCTCTCTCGCACCCATTTTTGGCCCATTGACTGTACATATGGCAGAAATATATTTTGCGGAGTACAAACGACACGTACATAAAATTTTACTTAGGTCATAATTAAATTTTGTTGTGTAATTCCGACGAAAACGCCATAAAGGGAGTTCTTTTTGCTACATTTTATAGCATTTTCTGCGTTCATGCCAGTGGTCGCCACTGCACGAGTGGGTGACGTTTCGGGGGTGATGTTTTCACCGAGACATGCCTCACAGTGTCCACATTGTGCCCTGGGGAGCACTGAGTGGAGGAAGATGGCAAATGAGCACCGGCTCTTTCGCCATGGAATTGTGGCACAATCGACCTCAGCTAATCACCGTCCGGCAAATAATCCGGCAAGAATGCACTCACAGATGCTCCACATTGAGAAACAATCGCAATCTAAGGCAATAGACGGCAAGTGTTTCCGTGGAATTATGTGGTTAAAAGAAGCCTCGAGCTTGTTTCGTATTAGTGTCGTTTGCAGGACCAAACAATCCCTCTCTTCATACTCGCGCACATAATTTAGAGCGAGATTACTCGATATTAGTCGCACATTGCTCACTATGTACATATAAAGTGGCTGATAATGGGCTATTTTGTGTTTGTCTTGATTCCAGAGGGTCTTCCCTCTTGATCTATTGTCCCCGAAATCTTTCAAATGAAGTGCGCCCTTCCGCCTGCCTTTCATGCTCCAAAACATTGGCAATCAATTCGAGCCCTTGTTCGACCGCTTCCTCGCCAGATCCTCTGCCGAAAGTGGACACAGAAGGAGGCAGAAATCAATGGTCGGGCGGTCTGAATTTGCCTCAATTCATCAAATGGTTGATCCTTGGAAAAAGAGTTGCTTAAACTCAATTTATCCCTTCTCGCATCTCCGCTTTCATCCATCGTGTTTCGCCAAGGATGAAGGGAGAGGCCGCTTGTGGGCTGCGTAAAAAGGAGAACTTTCATTTGATATAGTATTTATATTGCTTCCATTTTGTGGTCAGAAGTAAATTAATGAAGTCCATGTACAAAAGTGAATTATTTCAAGACATATCATCTACCCTTCCGGCCACTCTGAGACGATGAGAGAAACTGACTAGTCCTCATGCTTCATTGTCTCTCCCACTTTGCCATCCTCTACATTCGCTGAGGAAGTAAACACCCCACGAGGGTGGAATGGCAATAAAATCCCGAATAACATCCCAATACTCACACAATATCCTCCCCCATGTCTTCTGCCTTGTAAGATATTCGCCCCAGACACTCGGAATGTGCGCCCGGGGGTGAGATTGGCCGGTGGGAGGAAAGCCAGGGCGAGAGAGAGAGAGAGAGAGAGCGACAAACGTCAGACTGGAAAGCGAACTGCCGAGAGACTCTTTCAAATTGAATAATGCTGGTCACTCGAATGATTTGTAATTGAGAGTCTTGGGCTTCGAGGGCGGAAATCTGCCTGTCAAGATGGAATCCGCACAGTTGCTAATGCGATTCCGCAGAAAAAGAGGAAATGGATGCTAAGTGGAATTTAGATAATGATTCAATTTATTGCCCATTTTAATTTCTTGAGCAAACTCTCTGGATTTCTCATGGAAAAAGGATTCGACGAACAGCGTCTGCACTTTCTCGGTGGCAAACGCGACATTCGGTCTGTGGGAGGAAGATTTGAGTCTCTCGAACATCTGCCGTGTCATTGAATATTTAAGATTTGGATGAAAAGGAATTTTAAACAGAAGATGCTGCTAGAATATGCATGGCTTAAGTGTGCATATATAAAGTCTGTGGAACTAAATCATGTAAATTTCGGCTGTGATATCGAATATCATCAGTGTTTCTGAGATTTTCGAAGCCCTCTAAAGCCAAAAAATATGATGGTTTCTAGTTAAAAATAATATAGAAAGTTTCTGAGAAAGTCTGCAACTTTCATTCTCTTCAACGGAATAAACTACAAAGCTAAGTGATTTCATTTGTTGATTTGTCGATTTCTCTGTTTAAGACTGTTTCCTTGACTGTTTATTCGTTTTTATCAAAAGCAAATTGATGGATTTTAAAAACAGGAAGAAAGTGTTTAAACACTTGAGAAGCTCGCCTTGTGGCGACATCTAGTGCCAACTGGTGATCGCACGATCGAGGGTTTCGATCGTTCGCGCCAGTTTTTTCTCCACTAACTTGATTAACCGCATCTTTCTCTTCTGTTTGCAGGTGAAAAGCCTTACAAATGCTCGTGGGAAGGCTGCGAGTGGCGGTTCGCGAGGAGCGACGAGCTGACGCGCCACTACCGGAAGCACACGGGCGCGAAGCCCTTCAAGTGTCGCCACTGTGATCGGTGTTTCTCGCGATCGGATCACTTGGCGCTGCACATGAAGCGACATGTCTAAGCATTGGCATACACAAACGTCTTTTTTTCCGCGATATCACACACCGGATTCTCTTCCATCCCAATTCTTTCCTCCGCCGGACCGTGAAACGTCAAATTGACTGGAGAATCTCTGTCCGGGTAACTTATCACACTCATTCAAAATTTGTAACACTATGAAAAAAGAAGAAAAAAAAACATGAAGGAGAAGAAATCAATTTATAGCACTTCACCCACGAAGAGGGTGAGAAAATATGGCGAAATTGTATAGGAAACAAAAAAAAAATATGTGTAAAAAGAATAATCGGAAAAGGGGTGGTTTGAAAAATGAGCTCATAAGTGAATCAAAAACAATCATTCTGACGGAAAATTCAAATTCTCACGATGTTAAGGTAAATATTTAAATGTCATTGCTATTTATTTCCTCCCCACAAAATTGGCACGATTTTCATTTCTGATATTTCATAACATGGCGATTAAAATTAATGATAAATATAAATGGAAGAAGAGAGACAAATTTCACTGCCATTTACTTGAGGAGTGTTTCGTTGAGGGGCCAGTTTATCGGTTTTAAGTTGTTACAAAGTGTTTTTTTTTTAAGTGAGTAATTTTTTTGTACTACTTTTGTCTTTTTTTGTACCAGATGTATTTTTATATGTTCTAAGTCTAGCAATATAGTTTGATAAGTTTTTACAGAATAAAACTCCCTTTTTTTCTCGTAACGACTTGAATTACGCGCGATTTTAGTTTGTAAGATTCCAGTGGAATATATAATTTAGGATCTTCGTTTTGACGATTAAACGCCAAAAAAGTCTAATATCACTGTGTAAGGAATACAGCAACAAATTTATTAGTTATAGTTACCAATAGTATAATGAAATTGTACTAAAATTTCATTGCAATGTTCGTTCTATACTTATGAATAGCATTTAGTTCAAGTCTCATGCAAGCGGCTTTTGATTTGTTACATATATGCTTTCTTGATTTTACTGGCTTTACTTTTTCATTTGAGCGCAGGTAAGTTTGACTCAGGCTTCCTTTGTTTCGAAATTTTCCGTATTTGGCAAATATTTTGCTCCCCAAAGCGATTTTGCATGCAAAATTCTCAAATAGTGCGTGCTCTCTGAGCCAAAGCTGAGCACTTCGAGAGCACAGTTTTGTGTTAGGCAATAGAGCAGGATAAGAGGAAATCCTTTCAAGCAAGTGAAAAAAAATAGCGTTATAAAGTATTTGAGACCCAATAGGAAGTATATAGGAAAAGAAGTTAGAAAATGTAGAGAAAATCTTGGAAGAAAATAAGAACAGTCGCTGTCGTTTGTGTGATGCAATTCTGTGATCCGCATATATATTTATACATAAATATATATACACGTATATTTTTGGTGGCCATAGAAGCCAAAAAACAAGAAGAATAAATCATACCTGTAAGAATTACAAGAAGATAGGAAGATACTTCGATATTTTTAATGATTAGGTGGGCAAGATGTGAGGATAAGATTTGGTAAGATGATAAGGCCGTAGATGCACAGTTGGTGTGTTTCTCTTTCTGTTAAGCATTCAGTGATCAACACTGCGAGAGGACATTGTGAATGTGTGGAGAGACTTTAGATAAATATTAGATTTGACAGGAATCAAAAAAGTATCTGATGTAATGAGAAACTCTAGCATTTAGAAATATTGTGAAATTTTACAACAAAAGAAAACGGAAAAAAGGCAACCACTAATTTTCATACAAACATCATCGCATTTCATTGATTTTTCAAATGAAACATTCACTGTTTAATCAGATCTTTATGTAATTAAATATAATTGTTCTTATAGTGTAATTTTTCAGTATATCATCCAATTTTTGCCACAAATCTCGAGGTGATCATTTTTTTCCCATGTAAAATTGATGTGTTTTTCGTAAATACTGCACAAACGTTTTTAAAGAGTAAAAAAAAACTGCAGCAGCGCACCCTTTTCCAAATAAATGTAGGTCGTGACATAGCGAGCGAGCGAGAGAGAGAAAAAGAGAAGAGAATTAACAAAATTAATGTGTCAAAAGTATTAATTAAAGACTGCTGAAGGACGATCCGTTGGTTTTAAAACTATAGGAGAGATATGAATGAAAAAAGTCAAAAGTCATACCTCTTATATTTACATAGGAATACATCTTAGTACGGAAAAATATCTCTTTTTATACATACAGGCAGAAGCGCGATCGCATAGAGAATTCCACTGATCGCGGGCAATAGTTTATAAATAACGTAACAAGGAAGAGAACTTCCTCTCCATTTAGAGAAAGAGCGCAATAATATAAACCTTTGACTATTCATATAAAATAAGGCAATTGATCAGTTTGAAGAAGAATATTCTTTGTACATTTTTTTTACCACTTTTTGCAGGCAGATCGACAAGATTGCTTGACGATCGCTGTGCCTACTCAAAAGATCGCACTTACCACTCTGCCAAGTGGATAAAGAATTACTTGAACAACATCTTCTCTGAACTGATTCAATGCCAATCAATGTTCACACAGAAATACAGCCGATCGATCAGATATTTTGGTAGTTGACAGAAAAAAAACCAGCGATCTGCAGGTGAATAAGAAATTAGCAAAGAAGTCTTGCATAGTAAGGAAATGAGAAAAAAGAAACTTAAAAAGTCATTGTACATATCCAAGAAAAAGAGGGACTATTGAGAATTCGACGAAAATATAAAGGAAAAAAAAACACATTGACAGTCAAAAGGAAAAAAAAAGAAATATGAAATGAAAGAAAATCTTCCCTTTTTTTCTAAAAAATAAATTTAGAGGTGATCGGTTTCGTGATATCCAATTGTTTTTTAGCTTACTGTACAAAATGAGAAATGAAAACAGAGGTAAATTCTTAGAAAATGAATAAAATTTAGTAATAAAGTGCAGTGTTCTGTGGAGTTTGAATGATCAACATGGGCGAAGATCGCTGATCTTCCCTTTTTGCGGGACAATTTTCTCCGTCACACGATCAACGAACCAGAGGCGCAAGTTTGCGCAGCTGAAAATGACGATCCAACCCCATTTTGATCGCAACTTTTCAATTCAACTCTGACTGAATGACCTAAAAAGAGAGAAAGATTAATAAAATTATAAAAAAAAGATGCATTCATTGTATTAAAAGTTCTTCCGATAAGAGCAAATAAAGTAGCAAAGAAATCAAAGAACAATTAGAGAAAAAAAAAACAGTGAAGACATAGTAAAAGGAGTAAAATTGAAGAGTAAAAAAAACATGAGCTAACAAACATATTTGATAAATGTATATTGTACTTTATACATTGCATAGTGAAAAGAAAACTCAAAAAAGATTGAAGAGATCATCGTGAAGTAGTGAAAAGAGGGTGAAAATATAGTAGAATGTAATCATAGTGGTTGATCGGATTGTAAAAAGCAGTGTGCAATGATCGCGAGATCGCATGTGAAGATCACAGAAATGGTAATTGAATTTCAAAAGAAAAAATGGTCATGAATAATAATCTAAAACAATAAAATAATGAAACGAATTTTATACACGCTGAAAAATCATATGGATGTGTTTTTGACTAAGAAAATGTGTTTTAAAAAAGCCCTACAAAAAAAATCAAAGGAAATTTTGTAACTAAAGACATGATGAAAGGAAAAATTTCTCAAAAATACTTATAAAAAAAATGATGATAAAAACCATTTTACCTAATGTGAAAAGTAAAAAAAAATAAAAGGTAAATAATAAAAAATGAAAGGAAAACTAGCGAATATGGAAGAAAATTGTGTGTTTCTATACAATATTTTGATTTTCTAAATAAAAAAAAAACCTAGTAATAGTGAGATAATGAAACTTGGAAATAAATGAGATGAAAAGGGGAGAATTTTAAGGATAATTTTGAAAGTATATTGTAATAATCGATTTTTAATAAAAAATGAGATGAAAAAGGAAATGAATAAAAGAGAAAAGAATTTTAATATAAAGAAAAAAAAACCCATGAAGCAGTAGTTTTTAACATAAGTGTAAGAAAGGAAAAAAAATGTAATTTTAAGTGAATGCGTGCATAAAATGTCAAAAAATCCACATGATTGTGAAGCCAAAAGCATAAAAATTTAATTTTGCTGTTTGTATTCTTTGTTTTCTGTTCATTTTTCTCTTCTTGAAATTGTCAAGAACAATGCAAACCACAACATTCGTTCAATGACGCCAAAGGCGAGGATCTTCACTCTAAGATCTTCTCCGCGAAGCGCTCATCTACTCAAATTTTTGACTTAATACATATATGTATGTAGCTCTCATTCATACATGTTGTACATACGTATTTATTGACTAAAGAAAAATGGAAGAAAAAAAAACATGAAAGAAATGTTACGTTTTGCATAAATGAAATAAGAGAATAATTTAATGAAAAGGAGAAAAAAAAGAGAGTAACAGGCATTAATGTAGCAAAAAGTGTGTGTATTTAAAAGGAGAAGTAAAAATTTATTAGTTCTTAAATTACTTAACTGGAGTAAAAATGTTTTCACTAAGTAAAAGAAGAAGAAAATGATGAAAGAGAAGAGGATAATAAAGGAAGAAAATCAGTAGAGAGAGAAAGAGAAATAAGTTTTTAATTGAAGGAATGTGAAATTTTGCTTTATTTCAAAATTCTTAAGTCTTTAATTAATTACTGTATAAAAAAAGAGAGAGAAAAATAGAAAAAATCAACGATATCTCGCCGACATTCAAAGCAAAGCTGAAAGGAGTATAAAAAAAGCGAATTGATAAGCTAATTGTAATACTTTTAAGTAAATTGAGTGTTAAGCTGGAAGATGAAGAAGAAAACTATATTGAAGACACTTGCAAAAGTCATAAACTTTCTTATTATAGGCAAAATTATTTTCTCCTCCCCTCTGTAAATATCATTTTCACTTCTGTAGATAGAGAAAAATTCACCCAAGATTGAGATGGTCATGAAGAAAACTCACTCTATTTGATAAATTTTATTGTCATACGTTTCGAGAGCTATGCTTCCATTGTTATTTTATCTCCATTTTTATTGACTGTAGATGAATAATAAAAGAGGATGAATATTGTGTATTTTTTACTTGATCCTTTTTGGATATTTTGAGAATTTTGGCGATATGACGGCGAGATATTCTCATAAATTAATATTAGCTTATATTCTGCTCTGTGCAAAAATAAACGTACGTTCCTGTTAAAAAAGAAGCGTTTCTTTCAATGCAGCTTTCTTCATTTTCTGCGAGTCCTTCTGAGGATTATTCGGTCGTTAAGTCTGCTTCGCGAGAATTTCCATAGAAACAAAGGTAGGAGAGTGAATATATATGATGATAGGGCTCAGAATAATTCTCAACATTCGCTCAATTCCACCTCAATCGCTCAACTCTGTGAGGTTTCGCCGCATGAAAATATGCACGTCAACCCTGCAATTCGAGGGAATGCGCATAAATTAGCATTTCAGAGAGTCGCCAGAGCAGGTGGAGTGACAGTAAATATGTGTGTCTCTCCATGAGTGACAAATTCTGTGCCTCTGTTGATTTCCGGTGATTTGCAGAGGCGACAAATCAAATTTCCAAAATATGGATTTCCTCGCACGCTTCCGTGAGCTTTTGGGCGTCGTGAAGCTGCGGCTCGACCATGTTTTCCCATTAAATTTAGCACTCCGGAGAGGATCCGAATCATTGCACAGGGAACATCCCGACGCCCTTCAATCACTCGCCTCTGGCTTTTGATTCATGCTGGGCAATTTATTTTCTTAGGAGCACTTTTCCTGCCACCCCTAAAAAATTTGGGTCAAGCAGATGAGGAAAAGGCTTCTCTTCAGCCCTCCAATAATAAATTATTTTATATTGAGCACCATTTAATTCATTACATAATTTATTCACTTCCTGCGAAAATATTCATGACCGGAAGCCTTCTCGAGTGAAATGTGCTTTTTTGGGGGGCAGCGCAAGAAAAGTTTCTCGCAAACAACTTGGCAGCGATGCTGGGCGTCTCTAAACCACGAAGTTAATCGCGGAATGGCAATTTTGACCCTCTTTCTCCAGCCAGGATAAACACAAGGATAAACACATAATATTTCTCATATTCTGCACGATTAATTGGGGAATTTTAAGTGCTTGAAAATAGCGTAACAACATGAAAGTCACTTCATTTGTCAATTTTGCTGCAATATTTTTAATTAAATGAAACTCTGGGACGAAATTTATAAATGCAATTTTCACTTTAATTCACTCGCATTTGGCTTTTTCATCAAAACTCACCCACTTTTCCCGGCCATTGGCGAACAATTTGCCCGTCGAGTGTACAAAGTTGTTGAGAAAATATGATGAAGAGTTCAAAGCAGATAAATTAATTTACTTTAGCGCGATGTTTCTATAATAGTTGTGCAAGTGACATTAGCTTCAGCAGCACTGAATTTACCGCGTGCAACAGCTGAACACTGTGAAGACATGAAGACATGAGGAATTCTGGTGGAGTAGTGCTGAAAGAAGCAGAAAATCCCTCCAGAAGGTGAAATGCTCCGCCACCCCAAATGGTGGATTTATGGAAAATCCAGTTGAGAATGAAATTTTGTGAATTTTCTCCACTCCGTTCTGGGGTCAGAGAGGATATCTTGGGACGAGGCGAGAGTGTGAGGCGGGACAGAGCGTCGAATGAGCAGCTATGAAATTTAGTCACGTATTAATTGGGCCATAAATAACAAAATGTGTGGCGCTCAATATGATCCGAGGGACATTTTGTACAACACTTTTATGTATTGGCAAAAATTGCCTTAAAAAGCATTTTGCTATAAACTTTCCCATGGACTCACAGCACAGCAGATACGTGAACTCCTCAGCCAATCGCCCGAGGAATGGCCTTTTGCTTGTGAGGAAAATCACTGAGATGTTGCACTTTTTTACACCAACCCTGGCAAATTCATCATCCCCAAAACTTCTCATCATTAATAACTTTTTGCCCCTGCTTTCTATTCACTCGGCAAAATTGAGGATTAAATTATTCTCCGTGAAGTTCATCGATTTCGCCAGTTTGCTTATCCAAAATAGGTTCAAATTTGGTTTCAGAATTAGTAAAATCATGGTCTGAATCTTATATTTGGAGTTGAATCGATGTGTGATCAGAATGGTCAGAATTATCCATTAAATGTGTTCCAAGTATTCCATGAAAAATAAATTTCTTCCTTTTCTCTCCCAATCTGTCAAGAATTTGATCTGAAACAGCTGAGAAACGAATTAATTGAGCTGAAAACTTGCTAAATAAGCAATATTTATACAAATGAGACTCCAAAATCTGCCTTAATTCAACCAGATTCAGCGCAGATTTAGAGATACCTTTTATGGTCTGTCTGAGACTTGATTTGTCCGAATCTGCCTCCAGCTGTTGAGTATTTTGCGGCCAACAATGTACAATGTCTCAAGACTCTGCAGTTGAATGCGCTGAAAGCTCATATAAAGTTCATAATTATGATGTTGCTCGGAAGGAGGAATTAAAACAGCATTATTGTAAATACAGTATCGCACGGCGAGCGAGGAGAAGGGGTTAATTGCCAGTGCAATGTGGCTCTATTACGACACGGAGGGAAAAAGGGGGAAAAATGCAGCGAGTTGCGATTTAAGGCGATCGCCTCGAGAGAGTAATTGAGAAATGAAGTGATGAGAAATGTGGTGGAAAATCAATAAATGGCTGTGCAATATTTAAGTGCGTGTAAATTATTTTCCAAACAGCGCAATTCCACCGTAAACAGTCGGTGGGCGGAGGAGCAGCCGTACAGTGAATTAAGTGAGACATCGCAGAGGGAAAATAAAAAAGGAGTCTAAATGGAGAAGGAGCGACGGAGAGGAAGAAATAATTTAATATGAGCCGGGAAGAAGTCCCACTTATGTACATCCTAGTTCGGGGGAAGTTTTTGTGTGATTCTATTATGGTCCTCCCCAGAATTTTGTGTACATATGTGAGTGCCTGTTTGCTTTTATAAGTTATACATCTCTCAAATGTCGCTATACATTTGTGCAGGAGCGACAGGCGAATCTCTTATTTTCAATTCCTCCGGCTTCCTCGGAGTCCTCTGCGCTATATATAGAACAAAGTCGCAGTGCCCACCGTAGTGAGTAAATATCCCCCGACACACAAGTTGAGTCATATAAATTGTGAGTTGTAAAGTGAATGTTTGACTCCGGCCCAAGAGCGCAGTGGGCGTCGGTGGGTGGATCGAATAATAAAAAGCACGAAGCAAGCGACATTCTTCAGATGAATTATTTAACAATTTCGCTCTCGACTCCGTGAGCGCCGGGAATCGGGGCGCAAAGTTATGGCTGGGATTGGACGGCAAATCGAAAATTGTCACCGTCACGGTGGAAATCGCTGTCGTCTTCCATCGCGCGCCATTCTTCGCCACGACATGACTTCCTGCCTGTCACTTCCAGCCTCAAAAATCCCCCGCGCGCACAGGAAGTCCTCGCCGCAATTTCGGGCGCGCCGGCAACGCAACTTTGCCATTAAACTCTCTTTCGCCACTTCGCGCCCTTCGCGCCAATTACCCGCCCCGCTCGCGGCCGTGCAGCAATAACTCAAAAATTGCATGCACAATAACCCCACATTACCACCTGATAGAACGCCGCGGTCGCACGTGAAACTTTCCTTGCACATTTGAAGGGAATTAGACGATGCGAGAGTGGATCTGCAATTTACGGTTTTGGCGCAAAGTGCTTTTGCGCGGGCTTAAAGTTTGCTGGATGCGAAAACCCAACTGCGGTTGATCAGCGGGAAGTTATGAGCGTCTCAAGGAGTCACGAGGAGATAAAATACCAATTTAGATGCATTGTTGTCTTAGAAAAAGCTTTTAGGATCACTTAAATTCTATAGTGTGATTTAACAGCTCAAGTTTCTCACTTGAAGATGAGTCAAGCGAAGCGAATTCTCTTTGAAAGAAAGTGTTTCGTAATCACTTGAGGATATTGAGTGGAGTTATTAACAAGAATTCTGGCTTGTCTTGCAAGGATATTAATAGCAAGAATCAATCAAACACCTTTCTTTCCAAACTTCTTTCAATATTAAGCAAATTTCCGTGGAAGAAGATCTCAATTCAGGCTCACAAACACCCAAGAATACAAATGCAAACATGTGCAAGTCTCTTATATCAAAACGTCTCGTCACGACGTAGGCTTAGTCAGAGTCTTCGCCTACTTCTTCGAGGCATTTCATTAAAATTCACCATAAATCCTCCGCGGCTCACGTGCAGCGCCGAAGGGCGCGCTGAAAGGGTTGCAGAGTCTCCGCGAAATAGAAGTGGAGTGTCTTCTGCATTTTTAACGCACTTCATTCGCGTTGACGCACAGAATAATTCACGATGGTCTTGTATTTCGCCAAGTATTTCACGAAGATGACATAAATTCGTAATGTCGCGCGCGTGAAAAGCGCCCTTCTCTCCTGTCACACGCCCCGGACGCTCTTGGATTGTGTCAAAAGCTCTGCGGCACAGCCGCCAAAAGTTTATTCATTAAGCACATAATGGAGAGATAATTTAATTTCATTTGGCTTGGCATAAGAAAATGGCTCTATTTATTCGGCAAAAACACAAGTGCGCCCGCACTGTCGTGCGAATTTACACAGTTGCCGCGCTCCGGCAAGTTTTCGGCGGCGGCGGCAAAGGTGGTCGGGTGTAACATCAACAATTATATTTGTCGCGCTTAATTTTCAACTTAAGCACTTCATTAAGCGCGTGAATTCTTCGCCACTCCAGCTGGAAAGGTGGCAATGTGCCTTTGTTCCGGCGACCCACCGAAGCTCTCCCGGAGCTTTCGTGACGATGGGGCAAAGTCGATGTTTCTTAATTAATACGTGGCCCAGGAGGAAGGAGTGCATTAAATTGACAAATGAGGTGAATTTTTCCACATTATCCACCAACATGCTCGGGATGTACATTCACGGGCAGGAAAGGGAAATTACTTTTGCATACATTACACCGGGAGCCAATTGAGCTGACGACAAAGTCTTCACGATAGCAAACAATGCGGTTTTGAAGCGACTCAGAGAAAGATTAATTTCTTACTCACATTTCAGCACCGAAAGTCGATAAATTTGCTAAATATTTAGCAATTGAAAAGAGTATTTGAGTGCAAGCAATGATGAATTCTTGCTTCCGGACGTGATAATAAATCTAGAAAGCGATTAGAAAATGCTAATCGAAATTCAAAAGCCTAATTAGCAATTAAAACAGAAGAAAACACGAACATATTTCTAAATTTTTTATAAAATCATAGATTATCGTCATTTTCAACGCGAACAAAAACCAAGGTGTGTTAATTCTCTTAAGTTTACGACTTTATGCGCTAAAAAAATTGCTTAAGTCAGCACAAGAACGACAAAGGAATTTACTTTAGAAGAAGCTTCTGACAAAATCCGTGAATTGAAGTTTTTTCTTGACGTTTTCTTTTTTCAAACGGTCAAAGGGTTAATTTGCTTTGCAAGAGCTTTCCTCCACCCTTGAATATCACGAAGTCTTTCATTGCCATTGTTGTTAATTTCCTCGCAACCTAGAGCTGTAGTCGATTGAATTGTCGATTTGCTGAAAGGCAGACAATTGAGCTTTCTCGAGCTTTATCTTCATTTGCGTCAAATCGAAAGAATTCCCCGGCGAGCAGGTGCTGCTGTGCAGGTTCTGTGCATTCAATTGCGTCCGCAAGCGATTTCTGGTCTGCACGTCGCTGGAGTGGGCAGAAAGAGTGGCGGGAATTCCTCAAGACATTCCCGACGAGCGGGAGAGAGAGAGAGAGAGAGAAGGAATGTGTAATCCTTGCCAGGATGCGTGTGAGGAGAATGTAAGAGGGAAACGGATTAGAGGAGGACTAAAGCTCGTGTGATTTATCGTCTGCCCGCCATTTCACTCTTCCTCAACTCCTTTTGTCTCTCCGTTCGCCCGGGCGTTTCGGGGGCTCAGCGGAGGAATATTTGACGAATGTATTTGTGATACGGCGGAAGATTTATGGCAAATAAAGCTTTCTCCAACTTTGTGATTCTTTCCCCCGCAGCCGGCGAGCCGTGGAAGGTGTGCAGAGGAAGAGTGTGATTTCCTCTCTATCTCGCGTCCTCATCGAGTGACGTGACATTAGCGTGAAATCTCTCCGGGTCACACACACACACTCCTCCGCAAGCATCTTTAAAATGGAAAGCACTGGCTCGAGCGCTCCATGAATGTCTCGCCGCCGCTCGAGTGCCATCTGAAGGCACGTCGCAATAAATCTTCTCGCGCCCTTTATCGGCTGCGGCCAGCGATCTCGAAGGGTCGCGCCATCCTGCGGAACAGCCATATTGAGCGCTCGATCGGCGCCGATAAAATTAAGCTGCAATCGTCGCTGATTTATTTCAGGTCCGCTAATGCTCTTGATTATCTTGTCAGCGAGCCGAACACAGTGTTTATTGGCGATTAATTGTGTTCCACCTAAACGCCTTTTGTCAGTATGCTCTGGCGGTTAAGCCGATATCATAATAATACGCACGTAATCGCGATTTACTGCGAATATCTGCCAACATGGCATGATAATTCACTAATCACGCAATTGTTTTACTCCTTTAATTGAATGTTGCAATTTAGAAAAACACACGGAATGCAAAACAGTTTGAAAATAGCCTTTTTCGACATTTGTTTCAATGGATAAAATTCTTTCACTTCTTTACCAAAAGGTGAACAAAATCCTTGACAAAATCAGTTCATAAGTTATTAAACTCAAAAAGCTCAATGTCACAATATACTCAAAACAAAGGGCTAATCGAAGTAATCGCAATTAATAAAACATGCGAATTCTTTGCCATTTCGGCATTCAATACCGAGAGAAATTCCTCACCGCACAGTTTCTTCTCGGGAAATGTAAATATTTTTCCGCATATTTTCCGCGCGTTCCAAGGAAAACATATCGCTTCGACCCAGACAAAAAAACGCGTCAAACTCCGCAATTCTATAGAAATGCCATATAAGCGAAGCATCTGGAGAAGCAGTCAGTGCGTGAAATTTTTTCCATTGCCATTCGCCAAACCTCCCCGGAAAAAGGGGAACGAGAGAGAGAGAGAGACACCCTTTAATGTGTGTGACTTTAAAAGCTAAGTGGAAGGCACCACTGCAGTATGTATAAGTAACTCTTTTCCGCCCCGCGTCTTCTCCCATCGCCTTTTGAACGCCCAAATTTCCACCACGACCGCATCTCGGGGTGGAAATTTGTATTCCACACACGATTTCCGCCTATCAAAAGAATAAGAGCAAATTTTCCACCAAGAGTCTCATATTTTCGCACTCACACACTTCCTCATTTGCCACCGAGACGCGCGCGTGACGAACGGCCGGGAAATCGAAGAGCGTTCTCAATTATCACACAGTGCAATTTCTCAGCCGTTTATTGGCAGCATCACAGCTTTTGCTGGCACGCGGCGATGAACGCCTCCACATCGCACAGGCTCAGCGCCTGGCGCAGCTCCTCCAGCGCCCCCTGGTACGCCGGCAGCTTGGGATTGCGTGTGATCACCGTGGCCTCGGACACCGCCAGCACGGGCAGACTCGTGGACAGGCGCTGGTTGAGGTTGCTGAAGCACAGAATGGCGCGCGGCTGCACGATGTCGTCGAAGGCAAAGTGCGAAAGTCCCTTCCAGCAGAACACGCGGATCAGGTTCTTCTCCGCGTCCGCCAGCACCACGTGCTCGAGATTCTGCCTCGGCCGACACACCTCGATCGCCACCACGATGCCAACCACGTCGAATTCATTGAAATCCGGCCGCACTCTTGTCGGCAATTCCGAGAACGGTGTGATTCGCCTGGAAGAAGTGGAAAATTGCAGAGAAATTGTGTGTTTTGAGTAACATTTGACTAGAGAAAAGCCGATTTTCACAATAATCAATGGAAAATCAAAGACAAGAAGTAAATTTGGATCTTTCAGAATGAATTGTGACATCTGAAACACATTAAACACAGGAAATCAATCTTACTTTAAGTCTAGAATAAGCATTTTCGCAAATTGAACCCAAAAAACAATGTTGTTTGCCTCAAAATGCACTTCTTTAAATTCAAATAACTGTCTCCAAAGGCTATAGAATGCCAACTCACCGAGTATATCGATCTGGAGGACTTGTGAATAAATTGCCATCCAGCTTCCGGATGTTCTGATCCTGTTCCTCAGCTGGCGGCCCGTCGATGAACGTCACCTCGTTGCGCACTTCGCGCGCTCTGCAGTTGCTGAACTCGTAGAAATCGCCCTCCTTGAAGTTCAACTCTTCCGGCGGTGTCCAGAAGTTCAGCATGGCACTCATGTCCGGCCTCTCGGCGTCCACGATGCGCAGCTGCAGCAGCTTCTGCACGCGCCTCTGCAGGCGCTGCTGTCTGATCCTCTTCCTGATCACCTCCACGATCTCGCGGTCGCGCTTCTCCTGCTGCTTCTGCTGGTGCTCGCGCAGTATCGCCTTCTGGCTCGCTGTCATCTCGTTCTCCACGCTCTCGGGATCGTAGGACGTGTTGAAGATGTCGATGAGCTGCTCCGGGTCGCGAATGCCGGAAATGTTGGTGATGTTCCGAATGGAGAAGCTCTGGTGACTGCTCTGCTTGGCGCATTCCTCCTGCATCTCATTGAACACCGCCTCGAAGTTGCTGAAACTCTTGCTGGACAGTTGCGAGCTGTGGCGCTTCTCCATCCGCTCAGATCGCACCACAGAACTGTTCCGCAGACTCTCGATTAAGACTGGCGGATAAACGCGCAGAATGCAGACGCGAATGCGCGGAATGAAGCCGCCGTTGAAGTGAATGCTATCCAGATGGAAGCACTGTGGCTGAAGCTGCCGCTGGAAGCCCAACATTGTGTCCCATCGACACCGCCTGGTCGCATTTCCGTGCAGTTCCAGCGTCGCCGATGCCGCGAGAGGCGCCTGAGGTTCATCGCAATTCACCAGTTTGCATCCCTGAGTGATCAGCTTCGTGCCAGCGCTGATTCTTCTCCACTTCACCATCTTCGTCAGCATTGCATCGAGTTTCCCAGTGATTTTGTACCATCCGTCGCTCAGCACAATCACTGATTCGCTCTTCACTTCCAGAACAAACACAACCAGCGTCTTGTTGGCGGGTTCTTCGTGTTCTGTGATCTTCTTGAGGGCAGAACTGTGGCCCAGAACGATCTCCCTGAAGTATCTGTAGTGCAGCTGTCGCAGAATGTTTCCCGGATTGAGCAGTTGTCCGCTGAAGAAGTCAGGAAATGCCTTTTCCATCGCCGACAGCTTAATTGTGATGAATTTCCAGGCATTTTCCGTCCATCCCGAAGGTATTTGATGGGGATTCACGCCTTTGGAAGCTTCAAAAGCCCGTCGAAGTTCAGGAAATCCTATTCTATTCCGCAGATTGGGAATCACAGTGAAGTGATCGAATTGCAAATGCACCGCGTTTGAGCTCTCAAAGTCCAGCTCAAGACTATTCTCCCAATTAATGCCTCCGGAGGATTTCCTTGGAAGCTCTTCACCCACAAAATCACACAGTTTTCGCCTTCCCGACTTGAGTTTCTTCTCAATCTCCGGCGTCTTGAAGTTTTCCGAGTAGTTCTCGGGCTTCTCTTTGACACTGCACTCCTGAAGCCTTATTGCCTCTTCCCTGGCCAGCTTCACTGCCTCCGGAAGGTGAAATTCCTCTGCGCGCATCACTGGCGATTTCAACTGTTCCATCTGAGTGAAAAATGCGTTGTCGTCGAACTCTTTGAGGAACGTCTCAGTGTCCATGTCATGCAGGAAGCTTATCTGGGAGTTCACGGAAGATTCCCGCTGCACAGGTTGAGCTTGAGGAGTCCTGAAGTTGGCCGTTTGGAAGCCCGGACCGTCAAAAGCCATTGGACCCGTAATGTCGCCAAACATGTTCTGAACTCTCTTCATTGTCTCGTCGGAGATCTTAATCTTGTTCATGTTGGCCATCTGGAAACCTCCGAAGCTCACTTCTGGCATTTGCGGCTCATTAGAAGTCTCAAAAGCGTCCCTGAACAGTCTTTTGGGCGCTGACACTTGCTTGTCCCGACAAATTGGAGTTGTGGGCGGATTCTCCGCCTCCCGGAAGTCTGTGAAGCTCTTCCTGACCAGCTGGACGTTCACAAAGTCCTTCTTCCGTGCCGAGAACAGAGGTTTCTGCGTTGAACTCACTAAACTCCCATCCAAAGTCTGACTTAGAGCATCAATATTGCCTTTTATGACTGGAGAATCTCCCAAAATCTCCTCTTCAGGCACTGGAATCTCCGGCAAATTCACCTCGGACTCCAGACACAGAATATCTGGTGAATTTGGAGCGCCTTCCTCTTGTCTCTCCTCCAACTTTGGCCTCTTCCTGTCCGGACCGATGACTTGACTGGGAATATCCCAGAAAATATGATCAGCGCCGTCGTAAAGCAGCATCTGCGTCTCTCCGACAGGCTTCTGGCAGCCACTCGGGCCGGCAACAGGTTCAGGTACATGCTTAGCGTCCATCAATTGCGACAGAGGAGCGAAATCCGGGATCTTATCGCCATTCGAAGGCACTTTCTGCGGCTGCCTCACATTGTAAACTTCCGGGAAAGTGTACACAGACAGAGCGGGCTGGACAGGGTCTGATGTCTCCGCTTCCTGCTCACTTGCCGAGCCGTAGAGGTCTTTCAGGAAGTCAACGCCCATCCTCGCTTCAATTTTTGTCGGCTGGGAACTGAAGTAAGTCAGGGAATCTCGTGGTTTATCATCCAGAGCATCTGCACTGATTCTCTGTGACAGAATCTCGTTGTGAGCTGAAGTCAGACTGCGCAAGACACGCAGTTCTGTGGGATTGCTTGGCGTGCTGGCCAGGGACTTCCTGTAGTTCCTCCTCTTCATCCTCTTGGGCGAGGGACTCGGAGGAATCACTTCGTCATCCGAAGAAAGTGACCTGAAACAGCAAAACACCTCAATAATTGACTGTCCAAACACTCATTTAATGAAACTGCTCACATTTTCACTTATTCTCTGTGAAAATTCACTGGATAAAACACTATTTTATAAAGGAAAAAACACTATTTCGCGCATTCTGCGTATAAATTTATGTCCTGAACTTGTTTACTTATTTGACAATTGTGGATTTTTGGCGCACACAACAGAGGGCGATAGAAGCGTACAGAAGCCAGTTAAGTGTTATGAGAAATCTATTCAAATGTAAAGTGTAGAGCATATGCTTCATGAAGCTGAACACTAGCATTAAACACCAACTGACGTCCTTAAGATATTCATTTTCTCTTAAATTCTTTACATTTTTGAGAGTATTTTGCAATATAACCTGTGTATTTGGTAAGTTTTCATGTCTAGTTATGATAATAGATTAACTACATGATTTTATAACACCAAAAATTATGCAAATGGACAAAATTAGGTCTCATCAGACTTATAATTGAATAAACATTTTGCTTTTGGCAAACTTTTCTGCAACGCCTAATTGAACTTCATAAGCCAGAATGTTCTCACCTTTTCCATGCCATCTTCTGACCACTAATTTTCCACAATTTGTGTGCAGAAAGTGAAATGAGGGGTGATTTCCAGAAGTTGTGAAAAATTCAGCGGTAATTACGCCCAAACTTGTGGAATTTGCAACCCGAAAATGAAGTGCAAATTCACATTACGGCCTTCATCAGTGTAATTCTTTAGCACAATTCCAAATTCTCCGCGCGACTACAATTGCAATCAGAAAATAATTTGCATTTCTGTCCTGGCGAGGAAGCATGAAAGATTCATGAGACATGTTAATCAGGGTTAATTCGCCCCTGGAATTTATTATTCCCTTTGTTGTGTGCGCACTTTCTTCCGCTCCGCAATCTCAAGGCTGTGGACACTTTCGCTCTCGCGCACTATCGCGCGGCATTTCGCGTGTGCAAACAGAACTGCACTGGCCGTGTCAATGGCGGAGCAGTTGTTAGCTGTCCGAGGGGCCGGAAAGTGGCCCAGAGAGCGAGGGCAATTTGAGTGCGTGGCGGAGGAAAAGGGGTCGCATCTCCGCAGCTGAAATGATGCGGTTCCGGTCCACGAGCACGGAACGTTCGACCGGAAGTGCACCCAAGCATTAATCGCCGTCCCTGTTCCGGCCAACTCAACCCAGCGCAGCCGAGCGGCAGTTACGCTGCGGCCTGACCCTCACTCAGTCGCTGCCTTCGGCCAAGAGGACTCGGAGGAATTTTTCGCCACATTTCACAGGCCATCCACTGATGTTTGTGGGGCTGCAAACTTTTCCTCTCATTCACTTCACTTCCCTCTGCTGAACACACAAGTGAGCACCCAAGGGAGGGAGATGTTGCAATTCAAGAGTGCTGTACAGCGCGCCAGAAGAGCGTGGAAGCATTCCAGACACCTCTCATTCTTCCTTTTTAAAGACTGTCTAAAAATCTTAAAATCTGTGTCTTGCACATATTTTTCTAGGTTATGTAATGCATTTAACTGCATTAGCAGACGCAATAAGAGTATAATTGCCCAGCATTCTGAACATAATTCAACTTATGGGTAGAGTTTAGCATTTACACTCAAAAAGGTCATAATTCCGGACTCTTAGTCATAAAAACCAACACTAAACTTGAACATAACCTCAAATATACATCTTAAGTCGTAATAGATTTTCCTAGTTTTATTGCAACAATTTCAACAGGATCTTCCAAAATTACTAAGCGAATTATCCCACTAAGAATGAACTGAGCATATAAAAAGTCTGAGCACAGATTTTCCAAGTCGTGTGTCCACTTTCTTGTGGGGCAAAATTGGTTTAAACCTAAAGGCATTGACTGTATTAGTGATGACGAGATCAAATTGGCCCATAATACGCTTAAAGGACTACAAAAATTCCCTTAGTTGCTCAAAAATTGGCAGTTTTTCTTGCACTATCTGTCATTACATAATCCTTTATCGCGTTTTTGCCTTTTCCTCTTCTAACAACTCTTGCACACAGAGTTCTTTATCCTCACGCAAGTTCTCACTTGAGCCTCTTATTATCATTGGATTTCGTCGTTACGCAAATATGACAGTGTGATAAATTGAGCAAATTGAGCAACAATCTAATCGTAATGAAGCATGACACTAAATGTGCTTATCTCTTAGGGAATGAAGCCATTTTAAGAATAAAACAACTCTGCTACAAATTCAAAGCATTATTTTTGAAAAGTAAGGCTATGTGAAGTGACAATCTCTCACGTAATGACGACGTCATAGAAACCAGACATTTTTAAGGGTCAGAAAGTGGTGTACAGAAGTCAAATGTCTTCTCCTTGTTAACATTCAGGTGGAAAAGTCTGCGCTGTTTTTGTGAAACGCGAAACTGTTTTGCATGAAAAATAAATATTCGCACAATTTTCCATGGCGAGAAAAGGGATTATGAAGCGTAATGGAAAATCATCTGAATTTTAATGCAAAGGTGGAATTTTTTTGGTTGTTCTCGGCATTTCGACAGAACACAACGAAATTCCAGATGATAACTTTCCGGATTAGCATTGCAATTCGCTGCCGGTTTTCGCTCTTTTCCCTTGGTTTATCTCGTCATTTCGACACACTCGTGATGAATTTGACGAGAGAAGTAATTTTGCCGCTTTTCATCCCAATATAGAGAGAGAAATATTCGTGGTTGCTTTTAGAAAACTTTACCTATACAGCAATATTCGTATGAGTTATTATGCAGAAATAATGCTTCGGCAAAACAAAGATATTCCTGATTTTCCACACAATGAATTATGAATCCACACTCAAAATCAATAATGTAATTAGAGATAAATCCAGGAGAAATTTATCAGAAACGAGATTTTAATGAATAGGAAGAAGATAATTGAAGTGCATGCATTTCCTGGAAAACCCGAGAAAATGGCAGAATAAAAAATTACCTCATTTCTTCCACAGACACGAACTTTATTATGGCAGAAAAAAACCTCACAATAAGTTTAATATTGATATTTTAATAATAAAATATATGCGCACTTTTTGTTTAGTCAGTCATGAACAGCTTTTTGGTTTCAAAGCAATTCCAACATATATTTTCTTTGGAAACAACAACTGCTTGTGAGTGTCAAAGCGGAAATAATTAGTTTGTGAGTGGCATTGTTACCCCTTTGTGGCGCTCCACAAAGGAATTTTCCTCTATTTGTTATGGGGCAAACGTGGAAAATTTTCACTGAGAATCACTTTCATTGCATTTACCATTTATTTTTCTCTAGAATTTCACATTCCCTCAGAGACTGTCAATTACAAGTGCATATCCCTTCCCTTTAATTCACTCATTCAAGGGCTCATTAGCGTGCGCGTCCTGTTTTTCCTGTGAAGTTCCACAGAGAGAGTTTTACTTTCCCTCCTGGAGCACAATATAGAATAAAATGTGGACAAATTGCAGTTAAAATCACTTCACCATGTTCGTGTGGACAATTAAATTGTTGCTGCGATGCGCGCATTCTGCAAAATATGCAATTGTGTGAAGTGGAAAACTTTCGTCGTTATGACATCGCTGCACTTCCTAAGTTTTTTTTTGCATATGCGACAGAAACTCCCTGTCAAAATGTGGGACAAATTCGTTATAAAAAATATGTATACAGAGGAATTCAAGGCGATGCTCTTGTGTGATTTGCATAATCTTCAGCAGCGCACAAACTGTTGGACAAGCGCGCAATATTGCCATGGAACTGCCGGAAAATTGATGTCGGGCGAGTGTATAATATTCAAAGTGTCCAAACTTGCAGAACTGCAGAAGCTGGGAAAAGTGAAAAGTGAGCCTGAAGGCCGGAGAGTCTTGGAGAACATCCAATTTTCTATGCCGAGCGTGTTTCACACTTTGCCAAATCTCATGATTTCATTATTAATCCCCGCTGAAATCAATTCTTATCGCCACCCTCACGGCAGGGGGCAAATAAGTTCGCCAGAAATAGGCAGAGCTTCAAGTTGCTTTGGCAGGCAATCTTCTTAGGCACAGCGGAAAAAACAGCCGACAAGGGAGGAAAATATTTGAGTAATTTGATAATTTTTAATCAATTTTGTTTCCAATTGAGAGTTTTTTGCCTTTTGAAATAAAACAAATGAATTTTTCGACTTCATACACAATTTTGAATTAATTCAGATCATTTTACTTAAGGAAAATTAATCTCCACCCAAATTATGTCACAGATTAAGACAGACTTAGTGGCAAAATAACAGCAAATCTTGCGCACAAATTAGAATAATTTTCACTTCTTGGCAAAATGGGGAATTTACTCTTACAATCGCGCGTTTCAAGCCACTTCTAACCTCGTTTTCCTCGATCGATTGCATCGTAAATGCATTTTTGGCTTTATTGAATAAATAAAGCACACAAGCTTTGAAAATCTCTTTCTGTCAATTTGTGTTTTCAACACAATTTTCAACGGTAAATGATTTCAACCGAGAGGCAAAAAATAGTAATTTCATTGGAAATTACCTCCAACTTTTTATTAAATCCAAACATAGCGATGAATGGATGGAATGTGGAGATAGTGAAAAAAGTGGTGTACAAATTTCCGCCATGTAATCTCCCTTCGCCGGCTGACTTATCCGCCCCCGCTTCCTCGGCGGGTGGCCGGAAGATTGCCCTGTCGGCGGGGGCGAAACTTGAGAGGGAGGGCAGCCCCTCAATCATGCACAGCGGATCAATTTTTTACTTCTCCGCAGCAAAGAGAGGAGCATCAGATTTTTAGTGCAAGTCGTGCTCAGTAATGGAGTATGTTCTCGCTTTCAGGTCGTCCCGCCGCTATGAAAAATGGCCCCCCATCATTCAGTGGAAAGCTCTGCAGCGCACTCAAATCGCCCTCTCCCCCGCGGCCGCATCATCCCATCGCGACGCCCCGGTAGTTCATCATCTTGAGGCGAGCCCGGAATTTGTGATACAAACCTCGGCACGTTGTTTGCGCCCAGCTTCCGGGCGGGAGCAGCTGTGCCCAATTTGCACAGCCACTCAGTGGATGCTGCAGACGAATTTATGGCCCCCCCGGGCGGGGGCGCTCTGATAAGGCTAATTTCGCCAGTGTAATTGACTTTTTCTGCACCGCCACTTCTTTATGCGCCTCCGCGGGCACTTCTCGCCCCCGCGCGCGCCGCGAGACAG